TGTTGGCACATGCTAAGCTTCTGTATTTCAGTTGTGTGTGGGGTCGACTCTGGCTGACTTCTCAGGAAACACTTTGCTTTGAGAATATGGAAATCCCTCGGCAGCTCCACGCTTCACTCTGAAAACTTTCCCCTGAAACAAAGTAAAGAGAACAAAGGCAGCCCGTCTGAAGCGGAGCTTGGTTTTGAACATGTTGGGGTCACGTGATGAAGGTGGAAGTGTTACCAGTGTGGTCTGACCACCGCGCTGGAATCACCTAACCCATCTGGAAAATCGTGTGTGGCGTCGTGTTGTCAGAGCTGCTGCTCCGTCAGATCGGAGTTCGTGCCAGCGATCGGTCTCTGTTTATTTTATTTTAGTAGCTTTATCAATAAAGTTGGCCTGGGGTCCGCACACACACACAAACCCTCGGGACCCTCGGGTCTTTCAGTTTGATTGTACTCCGTGGGTCACTTTGTCTTACAGTATAACCACAGCAGTCCAGTGTAGTGTTGTGTAGTGTTGTTTCACCTGTTCCACGATGTGCAGGTAGTAACAGTGCGTGCTCCGGCTTGTGCAGTCTTTAAAGAACAGGATGGAGCCGATCAGCCAGCACACGGCGAGCAGCAGGTCTGCGACGCTGAGCAGCATCAGAGGCTGCAGCTGCACACACACACACACACACACGCACACACACAGGGATTACAGCGTGCTGAGAAAGGATTTTAAAAGCTGGACGGAGGACGGAGCGAGGCTAATGTAGATGACCAGCAGGGGGCGACTCCTGGTTGTAGAGGCAAGTCTGATTGGACAGAAGCTTAGGAGAAAACGAGTCTCCTGTTCACCTGAAGACCTTTCTGGTGGGTTTCACATCTCACTCAATAAACACGACGGCGGTTTTATGAACCTCATTAGGACTCGAGAAGGGCGGGGCTTCTTTGTGGCTGATCGGGTGTCTTTGTCCTACTTAGAGACTCTTCTGTATAAAACGATGAGTGCACCCAGCGGTTACGTAATGTTTTCATTCTTATCCACATGAAGGTTAGAAAGCAGAACTGAATGTAAACATGTGAATGACAGTACATCTTTACATCTGAGTGTCCTAAAGTGATGCCTCTGCGCCGGGGAAATCTGACCTCGTTACAGCGTTGAACAATAGGCACAGTGTCAGCGTTCAGCCCCCTCTCATCACGCCTAGTTTCAAATCAGCGGCTCGGGCTGAGGTTTGGAAAAGAGAACTCGATAACACAAAGGGTGATTTCACAGCGGCCACGTCCAGCTTTTATAAGCACTTCCTCTTAATTATTTTAACTTTAAAGTTCAGACCACAGTTTATCTCACACAGTTTGTGCAAAGCGTCAGAGAACAGAGAAGCGGCTGACCTCGGGCTTCCGGCTGAGTCCCCGTAACATCAGGCAGCAGATGATGGAGCCTGAACCCAGAATGCTGCAAACACAAACACACATGATGAGTGGAACCTCACTGGAAGAGCTCGGTGTTTAATAAAGATGGCGTGAAAGAAAAACAGCTGATTGGAACTGCGCCTGCCTCTATTGTCTGAGCGCTGTGACCTCTGACCCCTCAGGTCTTTCCCACTGGTCCCACACTGGGTAAATGAACCAGCAATAAAAGCCTAATGTGCTCTGACGCAGCCCATTACAAACAAGCCTCTGTACAGGAACATCCAACAGTCCGGCCGAGACGACGACTCGGATTATTAAAAATGCAGGATTTCAGCGTTTTATAGTAAAAAACAGCGTGTAGGTGTTCAGGTTTTAGACAGTAGCTCTGTGGGTCACCTACTCAGTTTGCCTACGTTACATATCAAAAGGTCAAATGTATGTGTCACTAAAATGTAGTTAGAGTATCTTGACTTTCCCAGTCATGTTTCCAGTTTTACTCCTGATAAAAACAGTAATGACGACAGTTACTGCTGCTGAACTTGACTGAAGTCAAATAAGCTCTAAATTACTCATGAATGGCTTTTCTTTACTTTCCAGCTGTGCCTGTGGAGGATGAAGACACTGACCTGAGCACAGCCATGACGAGCTGGATCCAACTGACCACGACGTACACCTGCAGGGAAACAGGCAGGCGGTCAGCAGGCTGACACACACAGACACACACTGAGGTGTCTGCACAGACACACACACTGCAAACTTCACATTTCTTCACGATGAAGCACAAACATCAAACGCTCTTTTGTTACTTATTCGAGCTCTTAGAGCTGCGTGACTCTTAAAGCGATTGTGCTTTAATCGATGCTGCAGCGAGTGTTCGTCTCTCGGTCAGGTCAGTTAACATCAGCTGCAGATGTGGGAGTGAAAGTGTTAAAAATAGAGACAAACAAACTGTGGGGGAAACACAAAAAACCCCAGAGGAAGTTCAGAAATTCACTCCGAGAGGAGAAAAAGGAAACCGTTGTAGTCTCATTATTACTTCTTTCTAAGATGTCAGTTTAACCGTCTTACACCGATGAGGGTTGAAATTCAGTTTTCAACACACAAAAAGACCAACAAGATAATGGCGAGTGCGCACAACCCTCAAAGTGCCCGCTGACCGCGGCCTCCTCCTACACAGAATTAAACTAAACACGGTCCAAACATCACAAACTGCAGTTCCTCTGAAGTCCAGCAGAGGCTGCAGCAGTGACGTTACCGTGGTAACCTCTCTGTTAAGTGTAATTCGCAGATTTATCTGGACGTTATTGAGCAGCAGTTAGCAGGTGACAGCTTTCAACATTCACGAAAGTCATTTTATCTGACGCTCTCACACTCCGATGGACGCGTCACATAACTCGGGGAATAGACCCTGTGCACGAGAAAATGCTAACTTCCTGTTTTAAGAATCATCCATCTTTTAAATACAGTCTGTGAGAATACATCAAAGTATAAATATGAATAAAATGTTTTAAGTAAATGTTTATATTTACTTTATATAAATATAATACATATAATATATATTTAATTATGATCAAGATCAATAAACATTTTAAAATAAACAAATCCATGATTATGTACAAGAGAATAAATACATATAAATATGACTCATCATTACTTAATGGAACTCTTCATACAGCGACCCTGTTTCTCATCACTGAGTCTGTCTCTAATGAGTTGTGCACCAAATGAAGAGTGAGAGGAACCCAGTGTGTTTATGATGACTGCTTTCTCTGCTTCTGCATTAAACCATCAGGTTATTATTGTTCAGCGGTGAGCGCGAGCACTTCAAAGCTTTTATTGGAAGTGAAATTTGTGAATTTATTTCACTTCCTTCAGTGAGAGATGCTCGATTTAGTGCAGCAGCACAAAAGCACGAGCTGATTGTTTTACTGGACTTTTGGCAGACGGAACAAACCGAGACTCACCACAGAAAACAAGCCGAACACATCCCGGACGTGGTCAGTGTAAATCACACTTGGATGGTTTCCTCCGGTGTGCTGTTCACACACAGTAGCAGCGCGGTGTACTGTCCCTTTAAGGCACAGAACGAGCTGCGGCATCACGCGTCTACATCAATATAATCTAATAATACGAGTATGGAAAACAGCTTATCTTTATTCATGCAGCACCAAATCACGACTGTTGTTGTTTATTGTTATTGTATTGTTGTAGATCCCACAATAACACATAGTTCGAGTTTATTTCCACGTCACACCGTTTATCCAGCCGCATGTAAAGCTGCTGAGCTCGTTAAAGTGCTTGAATGTGCGCAGTGATTCTGAGAGCACAGGAGGTGCTGATCGCGATGAGCTCACCTGCGTCCAGTCCTCGGCTCCGGTGGTGTTTGCTGCTGTGTGGTTGGTCATAATCATCTCGTCTGAAGACATCAGAAACTCTCTGAGCATTTCAGATAATCAAGCTGAAGGTGAGAAGGTCACGTGATCGTGCCTGGTCCTGGAGCGGTCAGCTGAGCCTCCCGTAGGCTGTCGGGACCAGCTTTTATCCTGCAGGATGGCGCGGTATCCGCTGACTCCGCCCCCGGGGCTCTGACCACGCCCCCTGCCCGTGAGGGGAATACCCACCTGCCTGACGACGCCGCAGCTTCGCTTTTATTAAATTGAATAAATAATTAAATGAAGACGCAGCAGCTGTGAGTACTTCTACTCCAGTACTTGTGTAATATACTCAGCATTTCCAGTTACTTATACTTTATGTATTAGCTCAGGACTCCGGAGGGAACTGCTGATCTTTTTCCCCTGTCCCGTTTGGATCGTTAGCCATCAGAACTACTGCCTGAAGAAAGATGCCAAGCGGATCATCATGGCCGTGCCATGTTGGTCCATTTGATTGACTTTTATTATAATTATGTATTTATTTTATTCAGGGAGAGTGGTGAGGGGAGATAAGCCTCCATACCTCGGAGAGCCTGAGATGTTCCCAGAGAGGTGGAGTCTAAGACCCAACCTGACACATAGACCAACAGGCGCACGCAGACACAAACATGCATTCCCACCCCCATATACACATAAACAAATCCTCGGCGCTCACCTGACACGGAGACAGACACTCCCCAAACTTTCTCTACATCCCAGGTCCAGGTACCCTCGCCACAAAGGGGCAAACCGTACCTAGACCCAGGAGATGGAACCCTTTTCCCTGAAGTGGAGACAAGCAGACCGCCCCCTCATCTCCATTAGCAGGTAGGCCCCGCATCCCAGACCCCAATCTGACGGCCAGCACCTCCTCCCAGCCCCCCAGCCCTGACGGTTAACAGAACCGGGGTGAGTGAAGACGCTGATATGTAGTGTTGCTGCGTGCTGTTCTAAAGTGCATTTAAAACACAGAGAGCATGGTCAATGTTCCCTCTAAGCTGCGCGCGTGCGCAATTGCGCACTGCTGGCACGTCTCTGCGCACAAAAAAAAATCTAACCTGAATTGAAATTAAATTAAAACTTTAACAATGCTGTTCTGCAGTGTTAGTCAGTGACTGGCTGCTCCCGTATGGGATCAGAACGATGCCACCTTATCCCACAGTCCAGCCAATGATGCGATTCACATTCGTATATACGCAGCTATCAGCGTCGGTGACAGGCTCTGACAGCGTCCTTATGTGCCGACACCGGTGTTTTAGCAAAGCGGCTGATGTGGAGTGAAGCCACGTTAATGACAACGTGTCACAACCATTGGAGATGTGAGCAGGACAGACGGAACAACTGACGGACAAAGTGTGGACTTTATACCAGTTTTTAAATTGTGTTGATCGGCCACGTAAAACCAGAGTTATGATAAAATATCTGCAATGTTTGTTTTCTTCCTGAATACTGTCGTTGTTTATATTTACTGCAGGAAGAAACGGTAAAAACGCGTTTTATAAGGAAAACGCTCGAAAGCCTGTGAGCAAAGACAAAACTCCCCCCAGCCTTTAATGCTGCAATTTGATTACTTTAATAAACATGTAACTTGGATGATTCGATGCTGGCGTGACCACAGTGCACGTCTGCTGTCGCTCACAGTGGTCCGAGTGTCCGCTCAGGGAGTTTGTGTGTTCAGACACGTGAAACATTACAGGGAACGTTGGTCACGGTGCTTCCTGCCAGAGAGCAGCACGGCTCCTCCCCAAACCCTCAGTGTCAAATTGAGAGGTGGGCACCGGCGCCAGAGGTGGGTTTGAATGCACAGACCATCCTCTGGATGCCGTGTAGCGTGCCCACCCCCAAGACCCTATATGTAGGTGTTATGTGAGAGTGTGAGTAACGTGGATGTCTAGGTTGCGGAATAAAATTGAGGCACAGGCGTCCAGAAGGGGACAGAGGGGGAGTGCCCCACCCTGGTGACACACCTGCACCCCAAGCCCTGCATGTGTGTGGGTGTGGTGGAGCAGGAAGAGGGAGGCACCTGAGGATGGGGAGGGAAGAAAAGAAGGGGAAGCGGCCCCTCCCTGGGGCCAGCTCCCCCGCTGACCCCAGTAGGCACCCCCGCTCCCTGGAGTCCACCAAGGCCAGGGGGCCCAGGCCCATCTGGGGCACCCGGCAGCGGCACCGCCCAGCCCCACATAACCCCGGGCAGCCCCACCCGACCCCATTGCAGAGAAAACTGCACCCAACCTATCATCCAATCATCTCCCAGACTACACAAGACAATAAACACCCAGGTTGAGCTCATTCTCCACCTCTCCTACACCTCTCCCCCACCAGCAGTGAGCTCCTGGAGAGAGGAGACCTCCTGCAAAGATGTTGCTTATCATTTTTAATATGTACAAAAATAAAATCAAGACGATGAATTTGAATTAAGAACTCAAAGTCTAAGACGTCAAAAATCTGTTAAATAAGGATACAAAAACAAAGGATATATATCCATTTCTGTTAAATACAACTGATGGAATTTGCAAAGCAAACTAATCTGCGTTGTGTTATTAATAATCTTTAATGTTCGAATAATCTTCACTACCCGGGTCGCCACCGTCAGACAAACTCTGACATGATCGGCTCGATTGTGCCACATGTGCTTCTGTACTGTGAGCTGCCCCCTTTTCAAAGATGTTCAACAATGTCTTCAATAATAATTATAAAAACAAAATTGATCTGGGACACACAGCATCTTCCCCCTGGGCCAGCGCACTTTTGGGCCGATGAGCCGGGCTGCAGGCCCAATTACCAGCCCACAGGGTTGGCCTGGAATATCCAATCAGAGTCCTTAAAGAGACAGGCCCCTCCCCTAGTTGCTGTTCCAGCTTGTAGAAAAAAATTGTGGAAGAAGTTCAAGAAAAGGTGAAGCTGGAAATTAGCTGGAAACAATAAAAAGAAATTAAAAGTAGATGCAGCACCGTGTCGAGTTAACCACGTTAGCTGCTGTTAGCTCCTGCACTGTGAACTGTAGGAACAGGCAGTAACCAGGCCTCCACAAGCTGTGGCGACGTGAGGAAGAGACACAGGAAGTGAAATTAACATGGTAAGTAACTAGACGGGGGACATAATTAAGAGAGAACTAAATAAATATGACTTCAGGAAAAACCCAGTGAACTAAAAATATGCAGAACATCTCCAGATGTGTCGACGCGAGCAGCCTGAAGGCCGTGCTGCAGGTGTCTGACACCTGGAGGCGTCAGTGAGGCTCTGTGAGCAGGTGTTTGGCTTCTTCCAAGCTCACAGCAACAGACACGAGCCAGCGCCTGATGAACAGGAGCCGAGTCAGCAGGATCAGCAGAGCTTTTACTCTGGAAGAGCTTCAGTGGTATTTGTTTGTTTGTGTCTCACTGCCATGAATGATCTATGTTCGTGACATCACTAGATGACCAAAACACATCAGGAGTGGAACAGACCACGCCTCGTCCTAGAATCGTTCGGCTTTGACCCGTCGGAGCGTTTAAAGAGCTGAGAGCGGCTTCTTCACGCTGAGCTGTCCTGTTTTGGTGCTTTGGAGCAATCCTGGCCTCCTACTGCTTTGCTACAGAATCGTTTAATTCAGGTGCCATCCAGTGGTACCAGGCCTCTTGGCAAATGCCCAATCTGGTGAAGCTCTCTGATGGACCCCCACAGTCCAAAACGGCAGGCCAAAAAGAAAAAAAACAGTGTGCTTACACTTTAAACCCACCCCAACCGGTCGCAGCAGATGGCCCCGCCCCTCCCTGAGGCTGGGCGGTTTCTTCCTGTTCAAAGGGAGTTTTTCCTTCCCAGGTGCTTCGTACTGTAGAGTGAAAACTCTGCATCAGCAGAAACAACCACCAACAATCATATGACCCCCTGTGAGCAGCACTTTGGTGACAGTGGGAAGGAAAAACTCCTTTTTAACAGGAAGAAACCTCCAGCAGAACCAGGCTCAGGGAGGGGCGGGGCCATCTGCTGCAGCCGGTTGGGGTGAGCGAAGATGTAGCTAAGAATCAGAGGTGGGGCTCTGCACACCACCGAACAGCCCAGAGACGGCGGTCGTTTACCCCATAAATGCATTTGATATGTAAATAATAAAATGCACGAACAGTTTGTGAAGGTCTCAGTTTAATGTTTCAGATTATAAACTCTCTCCATGCTGGGACACCTCAGATTCCTGTCTGCTTCCCACAGACTGAACATGGAAACATTTAAACACAGGAAATATCTACAACTCGTGGGAAAATCCCTCATGGGGAAGTGAAAGGTTTGCTGAACGTGACGTAGAAACTCTCACAGGTATTCTCACCTGGCGGAGATTTCAGTTTCATTCATGGACATAATGATAAATGACCTGTATTTGTATGACGCTTTACTAGTCCGTAAGGACCCCAAAGCGCTTTACACTATACACAATCATCCACCCAGTCACACACTGGTGATGGCAGCTACATTGTAGCCACAGCCACCCTGGGGCGCACTGACAGAGGCGAGGCTGCCGGACACTGGCGCCACCGGCTCTGGCCACCACCAGTAGGCAACCGGAGAAGTGTCTTGCCCAAGGACACAACGACCGAGACTGTCCAAGCCGGGGCTCGAACCGGCAACCTTCCAATTACAAGACGAACTCCCAACTCTTGAGCCACGATCGCCACATAATCCCACTCATTTAAGCTCCCTGTTACACGTTGTTGTATTTAACTTGAGCTGCTGCAACAAGAGAAGATAAATCATACCCAGCAGCCACTTTATTAGCTACACCTTGCCAGTACAGGATTGGACCCCGTTTCTTCTTCACAGCATCGACGAGGTTCTGGAAGCATTCCTCAGAGACTCTCCGTGTTGACGTGACACCATCACAGACTTACTGCAGAGCTGTGGACCGCATCCATGACATGTGGTGACTGTGGAGGCGTTTGGAGGACGGTGAACTTGTCACGGACGTGCCAAGAAACCATCACGCCCTCCCGACAGAGAGATCCTGGATGTTGTGGCAGATATTCTATAGCTCATCTGCTTCAGGGTGTGATGTGCTCAGAGACGCTCTTCTGCATACCTTTGTTATAATAAGTTATATAAGTTTGGTCATTCTCCTCTGATCTGGGGCACCACCCGAGCAGTTTCTTCCAGAGATCTGTACTCTGTAAACTCAGCAGCTGTACCTAATAAAGTGGGCAGTGAGTGTAGATATAAAACTTCATAGAGGCGCACTGCCACCTGCTGGTAGAAAAATATCAGTCGTGTGACGGGAATATTTCTGTTGTTGACATAATTCCACAGATCTTTCCTCAGGATGCGATGAAGTGTTGGAGCGTTCAGCACTCGTCTTTTAGCGTTTCCTGGTTGTAGTGGAGGAATCTGTGGTTCTGCAGGAACACGCAGCTGCTCGAGCTCCGGAAACAAACTCAGGTTCAGGTTCAGGTGAGCTCAGAGGCTTTAAAGACGTGGTGACTTTAAAAGTGTACAAACTGGTCCAGGGACAGTTTTTTAGTTCAGACTCTACAACAGCACGAAGGCCTCTGTGTAGCTGACCTTTGACCTTCGTGTATCAGCTGTTTTACCTCTATAGAAATGAAATCAGAACCAGGGCTGCTGATGTGTAGCACCAAATATTCAACGAGCACTAAAAGTTTGAAAAACCCTTCGTGACCACGCCTCTCGTTTGAAACACGTGACCTCCAAATGAGAAGCTGTCGGCAAAGTTCAGGGGTCACATCCGGACACGCGTCTGTGGTTCGGGCACCAAAAGCACTTTGGTTAAAGGGTCAGTGTGGTCCAATCAGCCGGCCGGATCGTGGACCGGTGGCTCGTTTGGAGGCAGAGATTCGTTCTGTTACTTGGGATGCTGTTAGCCTAGCTTAGCATACAGGCTGAAGGCTCATGCTTCTTCCTGTTTCTTCACTGCGTCCACGACAGGAATGTAATGACAGCTGCAACAGGAAGTGAGCTGAGGCGGGGCTAACAGCATCTCAGAACCTTTCCTTTAAGGCAGATTTAACTCAGCGCATCCTCTGAAGTCCTTCTAATATCTGAGGCTGAACTCACACTGGTTTCACTGGTTACTCGCTGACTTTTGTCCACACTGGTTTTCCCAGCACGGGCCTCCCTCTCTCACCGCTTTCAGAGACTCTCATTGGTCGAGGAGGTGCCGGCCTCCCTCAGCCCGGCTGGCTGCAGCTCGTGCTTCTTCATGTGCTTCCTGAAGACTCGGGCTCCGCTCAGGTTCTTCTGGCAGATGTCGCAGAAGTACGGCCGAGCCTCCGAGTGCACGTCCACGTGGTAGGTGAGCTCGAGGGCGCGGCTGAAGCTCTTGCTGCACAGCGGGCACTGGTAGCGGACGCCCGAGTGCGTCAGCTGGTGCTCTTTGAGCGAGCTGCGCTGCTTGAAGGTCTTGGGACAGATGGGGCACTGATACGGCCGGGCGTCGGTGTGCAGACGCTGGTGCCGGCGCAGCGCGCTGGAGAAGGTGAAGCTCTTGCTGCAGATGCTGCAGGTGTAGGGTCTCTCTCCCGTGTGGATCCTCTGGTGCTCTGTCATGTGCACGTGCTGGATGAAGCTCTTCCTGCAGGTGGGGCACTGAAAGGGACGCTCGCCCGAGTGGATCCGCAGGTGCTTCTGCAGCGCCGACGCTTTGAAACAGTCGCGCCCGCAGACGGGGCAGCAGTGCCGTGATTTCCCATCAGCCCCACTGTCGGCCTGTGGGTTCAAGGGTCCGCGAGGACTTGTGGGCCCATCGCAATCTAAGGATCCATCAGGGTGTAAAGGTACATCAGGAACTGTGGGTCCGTCAGGGTCTGTGGGTCCGTCAGGGTCTGTGGGTCCGTCAGGGTCTGTGGGTCCGTCAGGGTCTGTCAGAGACATCAGAGAGAACTCAGAGGAACACCGACTGCTGCTGAGGAGAGTGCCTGCAGGCTTTATGAGGGCAGTCAGCGTTTCAGGGTCAAACATGCAGCCATCCAATCATCATTTAGAAAAAACCAAACTGCCGCTGCCCTCACAGAGCCAGTCGGGAACAATCAATAACTAATTAGTTAAAGATGAAGACTCACTGCCGCGCGCTGGCCTCCAGTCCTCTTCCTCACCATCAGAGTTTATCAGCCCGCTTACGTCTGGCTCTTTACGCTCCTCGCTGTCGCCCCGCCCCTCAGTGGGGCGGGGTTTGTTAACAGAGGGCTCAACTCTGGTGAAAACATCTACGGAGGTCTGTAGAAGTAGACAAAGACAGGAGGAAATGTTAGCGTGATTATGTCTCCAGATAAATGGAAGTAATTTAAAATCAGTGTGACGTGATGTGAATGGCGAGCACGCCGGTTCACACAGAGGACCGGAGCGTCTGTCGGTGAGGCCTTTCATTTACAGCTGCTGCGTTCTGTGCAGACCTCGTTCTGCACCTCAGACCTGCACACAGGTTCACCTGAGACCAGCTGTTTTCTTACCTGCTCATTCACGCCTTCATCCACCTCCTTCTTCTTCTTCATCCCCAGCTCCACCTTCCCGCCCTCGATCTTCATGTCGAACCAGAACACCTGAAAGATGCACAAAATCTGATCTGAGTGCAGTTTCTATCTCCCGCCTTCAGTCAAACGCACGCTCAGATGACAGAGGTTTGAAGTCTGGGCGTCACCTTGTCGGCGGGGTCGGCGATGAGCCCGTCCCTGATGTGGGTCCTCATGTGCTGGCGCAGCAGGCAGGGCTTCAGGAAGCTCCGGGGGCAGATGCTGCAGGCGTGCGGCTTGTCGGCCATGTGGGTCTTCCTGTGCACTCGCAGGGTGGCCGCGCTGCTGAGGATCTTCGCGCATACCGGGCAGCGGTGCGGCTTCTCCGAGTCGTGGACCTTGGCGTGCTCCAAGAGAGCCGACATCCCCGGGAAGCTCCTCCCACAGCTGAGGCAGCTGTGGGAGGAGCTTCCTTTCAGAGTATCGGTGCTCCCGTCTGAGGACGAACAGGAAGAGGGAGTGAACGACGTGCTTAACTCAGCTGTTCATGTCACCTGGTGCCGTATCGTTAAAGCTCGCTTCAGTGTAAACCTGAGCTCCACGGTTCCTTCAGCCTGTTCCCACCCACACAGATTTACCCACTGCCACAGCCCACCCGAGTGACGCTGACCAGTGTGAGAGGAACTTGTTCCACTTTCTAAAACACAACAATAAGCTCAGTCACTTTAAATGTCACATCCTTTTTCTTATTTTGGTCCCTGATGCAGAATTATTCACAATCACCGGACCTGACAACCCTCTGCAAACGTCCTCCACAGCTGTTCAGACCTCACTGCTCTCTCCAAACATCACTCAGTTCATGCCGCAGTAAATTCACTCACACAGCTCAGCCCCGAGTCCTCACCAGCTAATCTGCTGTAGGACACGCAGGAGCACGCCAACATCCAACAGCAGCACACCGGCGCCGAGGAAAGGTGTTAGCTGAGATGTGACGGATGTTCAGGGATAACGTTTACACTCTGGAGTCATTCAGGAGAAAAAGCCTCCGTGGATTCTCACAGACTAAAAGGACGGACAGCTAAACTGTGGAGAACATAACGTGTGGCATGAAATGAAAAGCCGCTTTGCCGGAGCGCGAACGGGCCGACCCGTCTGAAACGAGGAGCTGGAGTTTCTCACCGGTCGCCGAGTCTGCGTCCCCGTTCTCCACTTTCATCCCGCTGAGCGATTCACCCGTTTTCTGGAACAGAGCGCAGATCTGAGGTCAGTTTACCTGCATCAGCTGTGAGCAGATTATGAAGCTAACCTGCGGTTCCTACATTTCAAACACGTCCTCCATCGAGGACGTCAAATAATCCTCTTACATTCTGCACTTATTTCCAATTTCTGCATGTTTCTGAAGTCGAGGCTGACTGCTCACCGGCTGGTCTGAAGGCTGTGATTGGTCGTCAGCGGCGGCGGTGCTGCACTCTTCCCTGCCGTGGATCTCCTGATGCTTCCTCAGCACTCTGAGCACAGAGAAGCGCTTCATGCAGACGTCGCACTGGTACGGCCTCTCTCCGGTGTGAGAGCGCATGTGCTCCTTCAGCCGCGACGCTCGGCCGAACTCTCGGCCGCAGACGCCACAGGTGAACTGCTGCGCCCTCTGGTGGAGCTGCCGGTGCTGCAGCAGCTTCTCCACAGACAAGAAGTCCTTCTGACACAGGAAGCAGTGAAGATTCATCTCCCCCTGAGTTTCAGACAGACGGAGAACAACCTGAAGCTTCAACTTTTAGCTCAAACCAACTCACAGCAGCAGCTTTACATCTTTACAAGGAGGAAGACAGAACCAGGCTCGGGAAGAGAAAGCAGAGAGTAAACAGAGGTAATGCTGATAGTGTCTGTCTGAGTGCAGACGAGACACCCGATATCTCGCCCTCTGTGGCGACACGTTGTGTCTTAAAATAAAGACCCGAGAATCGAATCGCAGACTCGGGGGTCAGAAGGGCGTCGACTACCATAATGAGTCCGACCAAAATGATCCCTGAGAGGAACCAGGAGAGCAGAGGGGAGCCTGTCCCAACGCTCTGCTGTCAGGTTAACACCTGGTGCTCAACATCTGGTTCTCCAGCTGTGGGGGGACACGTTACTGTTCGACTTCACTGGGAATTGTCTGATGTTTCCTCAGAGAACGTCAGTGTTCCTTCTCTCACCCCAACCAATCACAGCAGATGGCCCCGCCCCTCCCTGAGCCTGGTTCTGCTGGAGGTTTCTTCCTGTTAAAAGGGAGTTTTTCCTTCCCACTGTCACCAAAGTGCTGCTCATAGGGGCTCATATGACTGTTGGGTTTTCTCTGTGTGTATTGTTGTAGGGTCTACTGTACAACATAAAGAACCTTTGGAGCTTTAAAACTGAATTGGATCGCTGTGAGCTCCACCTCCAAACTGCTCCTCTAAGCAGAACTTCGGACTTGGTGTTTCTCCTGTTATCCGTCCGAGTCCTGAATTCTGCTTGAATGGTCCAAATGAATTCCCGCCTCTTTTCCCAGGATTTCAGTGTGAAGTTGGAGGAGGTCAGGGCAAAGCGTGACACTAAGTGAAACTAAGTGAATTTAAGCTTCAGTTCGTTGAGCTTGAACCTGATTTTATTGCTTATGACAGACAGAAACTGCGAGGAGCGGCGCGTGAGCCAGAAACAGCCAATCACAGCGAGCCTCTCGCCTACTTTAAGTCACGACACAAAAGGAAAATGTGACACTTCTAAGGAAACTGTTCACTAAGACCAATCCCTCCTTTCACACTCTTCCAGCAGTCATGTGACCACACCTGTGCAACACTCACCTCTCCGTCGACACCTTCGACTTTGACCACCTGGATCTGCTCGGCGTGCTTCTGCAGGTGTTTCCTCAGCAGACCCGGCCTGTTGAAGCTCTTGCCGCACAGCGAGCAGGGGTGCGGCTGCTGCCCCGTGTGCAGCCTCACGTGATCCCTGAAGGACGACGCCGTGGAGAAAACCTTCTCGCAGACGGAGCAGGAGTACAGGTTCTGTCCCGTGTGGGTTTTCTGGTGGTCGACGAGCCCCGTCCTGGAGGCGAAGCTCTTGGGGCACAGCGAGCAGAGGAACGGCCTTTCTCCAGTGTGAGTGCGCTCGTGCTGGACGAGGTGGCGCCGCTGGACGAATCCTCTCCCGCACACCGAGCAGCAGTGGGGTTTCTCTGCGGCGTGGCCGAGCCGGTGACGCCGCAGGCAGCTGAGCTGGGCGTAGCTGACACCGCAGTCGGGGCAGGAATACGGCTTCTCTCCGGTGTGAACCCGCTGGTGGACCGCCACGTTTATCTTCTTTGTGAAGCGTTTGCTGCACAGCGAGCAGCTGTACGGCTTCTCGCCCGTGTGGGCGGTCATGTGATCGACCAGGCGGGAGGGACGCGAAAACTCCCGGCCGCATACCGAGCACCGGTGGCGGCGCTTTGACCGGTGAGCGCTGTCTGAAGCCGGTTCATCTGGTACAGAGAGACTCTGCACACCTGGATCGAGCCCCGCCCCTGCAGGACACAAACACATAAATGATCATTAAAATCACGTTTTAAAGGATTTCAACTTTCAATATGAATCACGTGAAAACCAATCAGAAGAGCAGCGGTAGAGGAGGACGCTGGGCAGACGCTCCTCCTGCAGCCTGTTGCTGATACCTGCAGAGCTGTTGGATCCAGCCTTGGCCTGATATCAGCGCTCCCCCCGTAACTCCGCTCTGACACTAAAATAACCCAACGAGGGTCCCTAACCTTGAGCAGGGAGCTGCTGACAGTCCTCTCCTGTTTCCTCAGGCTCCTCCTTCACTCCATTCATCTCCTCATGCTCTCCTCCTCCTCAGTGTTGATGAGTCTCCTTCAGGCTTCTGAAATAATAATAATGGATTGCATTTATAAAGCGCTTTACAATGCCACTATTCATTCACTCTCACATTCACACACTGGTGGAGGCAGCTACAGGTGTAGCCACAGCTGCCCTGGGGCAGACTGACAGAAGCGAGGCCGCCACATCGCGCCATCGGCCCCTCTGGCCATCACCAGTAGGCGGCAGGTGAAGAGTCTTGCCCAAGGACACAACGACCAGGACAGACAGAGCAGGGGATTGAACCAGCAACCTTCCGGTCCCTGAACCACATTCGCTCCGACCAATAAACAATTGTACACAAGCTTCCTGCTCACGATGAAAGCACCAGAGTGTTAGTGTGCAGACGTACCTGAAGCCTGGTTGGTTTCCTCTGAGATGAGCCACATGAAGCCGCCGTCGCCCGGCTGGAGTGAATCCTCACACTGAGACAGAAGCAAACATTAATCAACCTTAAACGTTCGTCAGCGTCTGCGACACCACTCTGTCCTGATGACACACCGATGAGCCAGCGTGGCTCACCATCATCAGGAGTCTTCTCTCATTCCTCTGTCCTCGTGACCTGAAAAGAAGCCTCGGCGCTCCACGCTGACGGATGTTTCACTGATCGGTCGCTTTGAATCAGCTAGATCGATACACCGCAGCCCCGCCTCCTCTCCATTTGCACACAGCATCACTCAGCTTAACTTCATCATCCTCCGGACCTCTCCACGTATCACTGGACGCCTCCTCCCCACAGACCACTACCCTACTGGGGGCCACTTCTCCAACAGAAGGGAAACAAGGAGAATTTAACCTTTATCTGTTCAAATCATGGTCAGTATGTGCGAGGTGGTCAGGAGGTCCAAAAGTGAGTCTGCAGCCATCTGTGAGACATGGTGGAGGCTCTGTCCTGGTTTCAGCTGCATGTCAGCCAGCGGCGTTGGAGAGCTTTGATCAAACTGATCAAGTATGATCATCAGTTTGATCCACCATGCAGGAACATCTAGAAACATCTGATTGGCAGCACCTGCCAACGCAGTGAAAGCACATCTGGATAGAAACACATGCAGTGGATCGCCACAGGCAGTTTTAGACTCAGATCAATTGTGGGATTAAGTACTGAACAGTCGTGAGCAACGTGATGCTGCCGCACAGTCGACGGCAAAACGACACGGGAAGCCGAGCTCGACTCCGCGGGCACCGCATGCTGCGCTCTGTTGGTCACAGGGAGCTGTGCTGAGATAAAGAAACATCGGTGCGTTTGTAAGAACACTGTTATTATAACGTTACAGGACACTGTGCCAGCGCTACAGGACGAAAGAGACTGAACAGAAAATGTGAATGTACGTTTAAGCTTCAAGCTATTAAAAAGTCACTTTATAACAAAATAAATACAAACCAACAAAAATATCTTTCATACAAAAAGTAAACTTTGTTCAAATGTGCATCGTCCACATGAACAGTATGTTTGAAATCCATTTGTACGTTTTATTTTTAAATGTTCAATTAATTTTGTTTGTGCTCCAAATAAATTAGAAATTGCCCTCTTCTCTTGTTCTGTGCCCCACCTGAGCCCCAGGTGTGGGACCGTCACTGTGGAACACCACAAGTCATGGATGGGCCTCCCCAGAGCCCGGACCCCTGAAGAAGTGTGGGATCATCCTGACAGGGAACAGAACAACCGGCAGAAACATCCAAAGCAGCAGGCCGGAGAGCTGCTGGAGGAAGCTGCCCGAGTGGTTCAGTGTCTGCACATATTTCACATTTTCATCACAGAACATAAAGAAATGAGAGGTGGCTCAAGACTTTTGCACAGCGCTGTGTGTCTTTGTCTGCTCTCACTGTCTGTTTCTTCTTCCTTTACCGCACTGTGAGCATTAAAGCGTGTGTTCGGAGCTTCCTGATCACACAGACAGCAGCTCGGAGCTCACGCTGATGGTTTTTGGTGCTTTAACTCGGAGCATCAAACGGACAGCCAGCTAGCCCATCAGCTAGCCGAGGAGCTAGCCCGCTATGTTAACGTAAAGCGCTCAGAGAGAAGCCCGGAGCTTCAAACACACTCGTCCGTACAGAATGGGCAAAGAAACGCCCGAAAAAGGATCTAAGCCCGACGGTGTTACAGGAGCATCCCTGACAGCAGAGCGGCTGATGCTTAGCTGTGAGTGCGGCTAGCGCATGCTAACGCTAATTAGCTGTGATGGAGGCGGAGCGCCGGTTTAAAGGCTTCACAGCCGCCTTTGGCGAGCTAACCTGCAGGTGTACGGATGGAGCTCTCACCTGTCTGTCAGCAGCACTCACACCGACTCCAGGAGCAATGAAAACCGGAGAATGTTTTTAAAAAAATGAAGAGCCAGACAGCAGGTGAGTCCCAACTGAACCCAACAGTGCTGCCGCCGCTGGCCGGAAGGTGAACTACAACAACACTGCAGCGAGAGGCGGGCGTCCGCGTGCGCTCACGCACACTTGAGGTGACACAAAAGGAGCCAGATGTTTCCATCTACGTCATCATACTTCACCTCAGCCTCACCAACATCTGCAGCAGCTTCACAGTCACCTGTGAACTCTGCGGGTGAGACTGCAACAACCTGGAGGTTACTCACCTGGAACTCATGGACAGGTTATCACACAGGTCAAGCCAAGGCCTTTATTTTATTCTTCCTCCCACGTGAAGGCAAACTGAATATTTCAGCTTATTCATCTCTTCATCAAATATGCAACATGGCGGCGAGGCTGCCTCTGTGAAAGGCGGCGCTGCCTGTTTTTTAGGGACTTCCCTCTGAAATGTGACCTCGACACGTCCTGTAAACAAACACCAACTCAAACTGAAGTGACGACAACAACAACAGTGTGGGGTTTTTTTTTTTAGGATGAACAGGAAGTGTCTTTAATTCTGGACACTGACAGCAGATCATCACAAACATGGAGCTGAGTGAAGCTCAGGACCGTCGCCGCCGCTGGCAGGAGGTCACCACACACACCTTGCACCCCCCCCCCCACAGTCAGTCTACTGCTTCTTCTTCACCACGTGAGCGCAGTCATATTTGCCCCGCACCACGGTGAGTTTGACCCCGGGCAAGTCCTGTGTCCGACCCCCCTGCACAAGCACCACGTTGTGCTCCTGCAGGTTGTGCCCCTCCCCGGGAATGAACACCACCGCCTCCTTCCCGTTGGACAGCCGCACGCGGGCGCACTTCCTGTTGGCGGAGTTGGGCTTCTTGGGCTTTCGGATCATCGTTTTCAGGATGACCGCCTTCAGCTGGGGGCGGCCAAACGTGGCTCCAACGGCTTTGGGAGGGACTTTGGGCTTCCCTTGGCGATGCATCTGGTTGAGCGTGGCCATGGTCCTGGACAGGAGGGGGGCGGTCCATGCAGAGGCGTGCTGGGACGCTGCAGAGGGAGGGGTTTATGGTTAAACGCTGAAATAAAGTCGGTGCTTGTTCACCTGATGTCTGACACTCACCTTGAATCAGCGACGTCAGTGCCGGTCTCAGACTCCACAGAGACGCCATTCCTGAAACATCAGACGAGAACATCTGTCAGGAGACCGTCCTGACAACCATCAGCTGACACGCCCACATCAAACACTGGAGTATTTCAGGTTGGTATTTTGGGCTGGGTCACCTGACCCCTCAGCGGTCGCATCTTTTAACGTCAGCTCCGCCCAAACTTTTCATCAGAACTTTAAAATCAAACGTTTTCTGCGACGCGTTTGGGACGACTCGTCACAGGACTCTGGCATTTATTCAGGAAACAGAGCGGTCCTCGTCTTTGTCCGTCAGACGAGCGTCGGCGCAAAGCTCGGCTTGTGTCTCGTGTTATAAATCAAACAGCTCACTGACAGCTGGACTCGCTCATCGGCTGTGAAACTTTACTTCCTCCCTGCGAGGTCAGTTTGGCTGTTATTACACGTCAGCACCTGTAACAGTACAAAAACATAAAACTGCAGCTCTGCAGCTGTTAAACTGCACGTGAAACACGTTGTGTATAAAGGCTCATTTGCATCATGGAGCCCTGCTCTCTAGAACTGACTGTGTGTGAAGCTGGATTTAAGAAATAGTGCTTTATAAAGTTTTTAACAGCATGTTTACAGCCATCTCGTTTCAGTACAGGTGGTGTTGGTTGGTCACAGCTACAACAGTTTCTGTAACTGACCTCAGGTCAGCAGGAAGCGTGTGCCAAGAACAGCACCACAGTAACTAGAAGCATCCTCAGCTCTGAGATCTGATCTGGGCACAAAGACCAGCAGCTGGTGGCCGACAGGTGTGTCCGGGTTCTGGTGGCGTACTCGGAGAACAAGCCGCTGAGAGCTTTGAGCTGATGGAAACCATTTTAAAGGGCGACTGTGCAGGACTGGGAGCCAGTGACGTGTTACCGTAATCTAACCTGCTCGATATGAAACATGAATTCATCTGATTACAAAGAAGCTGAAAAGAAACTAAAAGGTTCGTCTTGGCAGCAGGACACGAGCTTTCCGTGGCTGCTTTAGAATTACTGCAGATTAAACCTTTGTTTTTACGCGCGAGCACGCAGCAGCTCTCGGTGGGTCCTCGTGCACGCGTCAGCGTTTAACGTCTGTTAAACTCGAGAACTGAACACGTGCAGTTGTTCCACTAAACCTGCGGTGGGCAGCTCGGGGCCGGTGTCCTTGAACCAACACAGCTGATTTAAAGGCTAAATTAGCTCCTGCAGTTCTCCAGAGGTTCTCCTAATCACGTGATTCGGGTGTGTTGACCCAGGGTGAGATCTAAAACCTGCAGGACACCGGCCCTCGGGGCCTCGAGTTGCCCACCCTGCATTAAACTCCTGTGGAAGGAGCACACCTGTGCACGCGCTGATGTTTATACGTAGACAGCGTGGCTAACGCTTAACATCGGCTAGCTTCAGGACACACGCGCACACACACAAGGGTTACCGGAAGTTTGCTCGCTCCACGCACACCTGCTGAGAGTCCCGGACAAACTGCCTCCACGCCGGCGGAAGGAATCGGAACTCTGACCGGTCAAAGTATTGACGGCATTCCAGTGAAATCTATCAAGGACGTCGCGGCACGAGCAGCACGACCTCTCAACAACCCGGAAATCCTTCCGCTGTCAGTGCGGCCTCCACTGGCGCATTACTGCCCCCTGCAGGAAGAAATATGGCCTGCATTTGTATAGCGCTTTACTCAGTCCCTAAGGACCCCAAAGCGCTTTACACTACATCCACCCATTCACACACACAGTCACACACTGGCAGCTACATTGTAGCCACAGCTGCCCTGGGGCGCACTGACAGAGGCACCCCAGGACCAGCGGACGGGTCACTTCGCGTTTCTCCTGTTTTCTTCTTCTTCCTCCTGCCGTCCATCCATGAACCTCCTGAGCTCCTCTTCTCCTCCCTCCTCCGCACATGCTCAGACCTTCACAGCAGGCCTCACCTCGGTCTTTAAACCTTCCTTTTCACTCGTGCCGCTCTCCTGTCAGAAATCACGACTCATCTCCTCGCAGCTTCTCTGTACGTTTTCATTGTATTCTACAGTTTGTAATAAACGTCATCGTCACCAACACTTTATTTAAACACTTATTTAAATGTGTTTTTTTCATGCTTATCATTGTGTATTATTCTGTTTTTATTGCATTTGGCTCTGTTATCAGTTCAGGAGTACAGGTGGCGCACTTTGGTTTCAGACTCTGTAATTACTCTGCAATGGGGTTTTCAGCCAGAGCCGATTCAAGAAGGTCAGCTCAAGTCCTGATAAGTGGCTGAGGCTCCAAGGTTTCGTGCTTCACACATGTCAGCTGATCTCTATCAGACACGATTACACATTAACCAGGTGGTCCACAGGTGTGCAGGACAGGTAAAGCAGCTACAGCCTCGCTCCGAGCTGCAGTCAGTCGGAGTGAAGATGAAGATGAGGCCACAGCTGCTCCTGGTTCTGACGGCGGTCGTCTGCGCTGCCGCCAAGCCTCTGAGCAAGGCGGCGATGACGAGTAACAAGCTGCTGCTGATCTCCTTCGACGGCTTCAGGTGGGACTACGACCAGGACGTGGACACGCCGAACCTGGACCAGCTGGCTGCGGACGGGGTCAAGGCCAAATACATCACCCCTCCGATGCTGACCATGACCTCGCCGTCCCACTTCACCACCATCACCGGTAACCATGACAACTTCATTTTAATATCAATTTAGTTTCAAAGTTGCAGCGGTCACAGCCAGTACTGCGTTAGGAATACTGCATGCGCTGGAAAGTACACACACTGTACAAGTACAAATATTAAATACCTGAAAGTACTTAATATTTGTACAAGACAATACAGTACAACTTTGTATAGCACATTTAAAACCAGCAGTACACCAACGTGCTTTACAGTAACACAATCATTTATAGAAAGGCAACATTTACAGGGAATAAATACACCAACAGGTGGAGAGCACTAATCAGCCACAGCGCAGTGAAAATATGTAAAAGAAAATACAAACAACTCGACTATTCAACAACAAAATGAAATTTAAATGATTAAAACTACATAAAGAACATTTGCAGGATACAGACACTAACTAGGGAAGGCTGGGTTGAATAAAAAGGTTTTCAATCGCGATTTCAAAGATTGGACTGATTCAGACTCACGAATAGCAGTAGGAAGGTCATTCCAGAGTTTGGCTGCAGCTGTGGCAACAGCACGATCACCTCTGGTCTCCAACCGTGCCCTTGGTTCCCCCAAGAGATCTCAGTGCTCTACTAGGAGTGTACAAGCTGAGAAGTTCAACAAGATAGCTCGGAGCAATGTGGTGTGTAACTTTAAAGGTAAGCAATAGTATTTTAAAATCAATACGGTATTTGATAGGAAGCCAGTGCAGGTCAGTGAGGATAAGAGTGAGAGACTCAAACCTGCCAGTTCCAGTTTGTACAGGAGCAACAAAACTCGAACGGAGTCTCATGATGCAGCTGAAATCTGTCTGATCGACATGAACGGAAATATATTTGTGTCCTTTTGTATTTATACCTCTGTCTTTATCTACTAATATCTGTTTCTGCACTTTACATGAGTGCTGGATTAGGGCTGGGTTTTTATAATCGATTCATCGATTAAAATCGATTCATTAAAATCCTGAATCAATTTTTAAATATAAATTTATTTTGCCCAAAACGCCAGAATCTCAGGTGAAATCTCACAAAATTTCAACAACCACCAAACAGCTAAGACAGTAAATGAGAGCAGGAACACGGATTCTGCACAAAGACTTAAACACACAGCGCGACCCGCGGATCAGAATCAGTGAGATGTGATTTTCTCACGGTCGGGGCTGGAAGCCGACAGCTCGCTGACTCTGATCTGTCGGCGCTTTGTGTTCACGCCCTTTATGAGCCGATTCTAAAGCTGTTAGTTTCCAAACAATATTGACCGAACCAGCAGCAAAAGAAGATCCAAACTACGCTTCACATGAACATCATCATGGACTCACTCTGACTTTTACTGTTTTGCTTCCACCAGGATGCACAGCTCTCTCTCCCTCTCTCTCTCGCTTGTTAGCACCAGTCTACCGCTGCTTACAGGCTGTCGGCCGCTGTTTTTTTCCTTTTACTTACTTCCAAAAAGAAAACCTCATTTCTGCCGTTCAATACTGAACAAATTTAAACTTTTTAAAATTATGCAAAATGCAAAACGCCGTGTCTCTAATAAACTCGCTGTAACGTCAGAGGTGATGTTCATGTGCTGATTAATGGTTTTCTTTAGTTTTTGATCTACTGCAGAATATTT